TTCTTCTCCTCAAAGACAAATGTTGATACGCTGCCCAGTCGTTTTCATGTTGCGTCTCAAGATTTCTTTGTATAGCTCGGATCGAAACAAGAAGTGGAGTGGTTGAATATTTTCAGTGCGTTTTTTTTCATGCAAGCACCTTCCAACTCTACCTTTCATTGATCACGCAAAATTGACATTGAATTGTTTCCACCTTCTTGCCGCATGCAAAATATTTTGCAATCTTCAGAACGTATTGTAATTTATGTACTTTATCAAATGACGTTTCATGTGACATCAAACTGTTGGAATATGTAGCAATTCCACACGCGTCGAGATCGCTCTTCTGATCTGCCACAAACTTCTTAAAGGTTGAATTGTAACCAAAGAATCACCGTACACAATACATAATCTTTGAATTTGATTTCATATCATCGTCAAGAGTGACAGCTTCCGATACAAAACTATTGTTGTCATTGATTGTTGAGATCTGTACTCTTATAGGATACACTTCAAGAGTGTCCCAAATTAAGCACAAATATTCATACAGATAAAAAATCCGAAGGTACAAAAACTCAAAAACCGGATCATCAAAACTCAATGCTAAGCATTTACAAAGGTGTATATTCACTTATTCAAACAGGAAACGATGCGAACCTGACAGTACACAGTAATGAAAAAAAAAAACTGAAAAGAAAGATTTCAAATTTGACAGTCATAAACTACTATTTAGTTGGTGTTGACAACCCTTTAGTGATACCACTTTGTATTTAAGAGCAACAAGTAAGCAAAACACATGTAATTGTCATCAATGATAGTGTAATTCATCATCGAATTTGGCTATAGTTACTAGTAGTAGTTGATTCTAACATGTAGCAAAGACATCCAAGTAGAGAAAACACATCTTCAATGACGGTGCAATTTGTTGTCAAATCTTGCAGTAGTTATTGGCAGTAGTGATAGTAGTTGATTCATAACAAACAGGCGAAAGACCAGACAACTTCCATGTACAAAGAAGCAAACAATTATAAACAAGCACTCACAACAAGAGAAAACTGAAAAAGAAGCGTCCCAAACAAATTTTGATTGACACGAGATGATAGAGAGAGGGAAACATTTTGACATCGAACAATTGGCAACAACATACACGTTGCATTTTTTCCTGGTTGGACGTTGCAATTCAAAAGTGACAGATTCAACATTCTTGTTCTCATCCAAAGTTGAGACCTGTTGGCATCGAAGTTGAGATGCGAACAGTAAATGGTTGCATAATTGAGACGTTGACACATAGCACTAGTTTTCTTGGAAGTTCGTAAACTGGGCAAAGTTTTAAGGTTTTACTCCATAAAGCCAACATCGTAGTCACTCTTAATTGTGGCATTGGCCGAGTTTTAATTGAGGCAAAGATGTCATTTATTCTTAAAATGCCACTTTTAAGTAGGTATGCGTTAGCCCCTTATTTTGATCAGTGAAGTCCCTACTTTGAGCATCTAAAGGGGCCTTGTTGAAAACTAAAGAATAACTGAAATTCGGGGAGAAGTAAATTTTCAACAAAGTTGAAAATTGAGTATTGAGTCCCATCAAGACTTATGCATTCGGATGGGGTCTGTAATTCTCTCCAAAGTGCGAAACTCCTACAACCAACCTCGAAGTTCTAGATGGAGCGTTTTCTTCTCGCATTTGTGACTTCGTGGATCATGAGTCGATGCAGCCCGAAGGCTGAGACGCCAATGACGTCAGTAGGCTGAAAAGAGGGAGGATGGAGGCCACGTGGATTACAAATGAGGAAGGAAGAAGAAAAGTTGAAAAGTACTTGGGAGAGTAAAGAACGGGCTGAAGAAATATTAAAGCGAACAAGAAAAAGAGTCACCCTACACAGGAAAGGAAGAGGGACAAAAGATGTAAGAAGAGAGAAAGATCGAGGTTGTTTAAATGAAAGTCTTTCGATTGCCTTGAGTCAAGCATGTTGGCAAGCTACAAGCTTATCGGTTGTATCAAAGACAGCTGATCATATGACCTGCTAATGGTCCTCCAATTCATGCTAAATTCGCTCAGTAAATTTCCGACAAAGGATTTGAGGTCGTAAGCAGTTGTTGATAATCTTTTATTTTGCTCTATTTTGCTCACAGTTCGGCCGTCCTGTGATTGTTAAATGCACCTGGCAACTTCACTTCTGAAAAGAAATTGCAATGTTGATGTTGCACATCATATAAGAAACAACCATTATATCGTAACCAAGGTTACGATATGTCTATAACCAGTACGTTAATCTAAATAATCAACTATAAACTGTAAAACATGTACATAAATGTACGTTTTGAATATACGGAGGGCCCTATCCACGTTGATAATGCTCTGATTTCACGATATCATGGGGATGCTCTGCGTGGAAGATTTAGATGAATTTTACAGCGATCAACAATTTGCCATCCGAGCCTCTGATTTCACGATTTTATGGGGATGCTCTGCATGGAAGATTTAGATGAATTTTACAGCGATCAATAATTTGCCATCCGAGCCTCTGATTTCACGATTTCATTGGGATGCTCTGCATGGAAGATTTAGATGAATTTAACAGCGATCAATAATTTGCCATCCGAGCGCACAATGGTCGCGAAGATTTCGCGAAAATTCCTGCGATAACGTTCCACGCCATCCCGACACATCACTGTGGTAGGCGCACACGTCGCCCTTGACATATAGACAGCCCTTCTTAAGGCTCGCCCTAAATCCTAGCCTTAATTTTTTGTCAACCGTGTCTAAATCCGACCGGGTTCAAAACATACTTGAACTTTTGGTGGCGCTTGAGTAAGAAATTGTTCACGGTACGTGTCTGGCCCCTGACAAGACTATGAGATTCTCTGCCTTTTTGCAATAAAAGGCCTGTGGATGAAATATCCAACTGGACACATTCAGTGCAAATTCTGCATATATTGACGGGGCCCGCTCAAGATGGTGGGTGAATCTGGTGATTGTGAGAACATTCTAAAATTCTGCGTCACTTAATGAACCTCCATTGGTCGACTGGTTCCTTGAAAAGCCGGTTCCTGCTACCGTCCGCAAGCTCAAAATGTCGATCTCTGAGAGGAGCAGCTTGACGTACTTAACAGCTTACCAGCCTACGCTCGACACGTGTTAACCCGGTTAACGTGTGTATATTAACATTTTCCTGTTTAGGATCGCTGTCCAATCTGACAGCCGCAGTGTAGTCCTCGCAGTTGCAAGTTGTGAGTCACAACTTGCAACTGCAACCATGCTTAAGACGGGTCACAACTTGTGACCCGTCTTAAGCAATAATATAGTAGTCCTGATCGCTCGATCGCCGTCACAAGTCTTTGCTCTACTCGATACATCGTGCACTCTTCGGTCGTGCATCAAATGAGATGACTTGGTTGTGATGACTGATTTCTCCTTGCATTGCACTATGGGACACAATTTCGTTATTATTTTGATGTGTTAACATTTACTACTCACTCTACTGATGTCAACCAATTCATGTAGCACGGTTATGTAAATACCAGCTACATAACTCCGAACTAGAGAGGAAGATAAGGTGAACTTTTAATATGATTCTTTGTTTAGAGATCCAAAATAACCACAGCGTATACGGAAATAATTTAGTACGTACAATAGAACGCAAAGAATGAGGTTGATTGTTTGAAATGAAAATGAGATTTTGAATACAAGTTGATCTCCGCTTATGTACAAAATCATAAAACTTCCAACGGAAATAGATAGAATTTGGATGTGATATTTTCTCATTCAAGACAAAGCTGAAAATAAAATTTGAGCTGACTCAATTTGGACTCGAAGATAGCGTATCGCAAATTTTAAAATCAACTAGTTTATTCATATTGTTTTCAAGATTATTTTCTTGTCAACATGTGGTCTTCCTGGAAGATAGAAAGATAAATATGATGAAGTACAAAAATTAGTAATTAGAGGTTCACATGTGTGCATGAGTTTCAAACTAAAAATCAAGCTTCTTAAAGTAAGATCAATATGAGGAAGTCATTAAAGTTGTGGCATTCTTACAAATAGAAATAATTACATTTGTAACATGAAAGCATTTGTAGGTTATGTGAGGGTGGAAATATTGAGTATGAAGAGCATGTGTTTGTTACATGTCTTTGGTATGAAGAGATTAAACTACCTCATAAAATTGATGTTAAGTATTTCTAATCTATGTTACAGCTATTGACTTTTGATTTAGTTCTTTATATTGGGTATGTCATTAGTCATAATTCTATTGCTCTTGACACTAGATAGGGTTTGATCTTTATGATCTTTTTCCTGGAAATCTAATGTTTTACTTGTATTGAGTTTTTCAGCCATTTGACCCTTTGGATACCACGGATTTCATGTATTTACCATGGCATAATTGACAAATGAATCTTGATTACTTTGACCATGAAACGAAAACGTCATTGATGACTAAGAATCTAGATGTCAAGGCGTAGAGAACGCTCTTCTTTGGACATCTTGAGCTTTAAGAGTGATGGATGACATGAAATTTGGCATGAAAAAATATTTTTGCCAATTTGAGGTGAACATGTAGGCATATAATTAGTTAATTACTATATGTAAAGCGTTTTGATCAGTCGGGCATTATTCTTTCATTTATTAATGCTAGTTTGTGATTGCTTATATATCCGTACTTAAGATTTATGAAGGACATGTGGACAAAATTCATTTTCTATGTGTTATAGCGTATGAAACAAACATGAAATGTGTTTACATACAGTAATCATGTCAAGAGGTTAGACCTTTTTTCACCTTTGCTCAACTCAATCGGACTAGAAGATTTAATCTATCTTGATGTATCGACATTTTTACCAAGCCTTACATGTTTCCTTGTTGGATCCAAGACATCTCCTGTATTACTAACGTGTTTTAAGCTCTTGATCTAGATAAATAATTGTGGAGCTTGACTTAATCATGCATCAAGGCTTATTATATGACGCATATTCATGCAAAAATACACTTATATTTCACTTTAAATCACATTGTACTTTACTGGCCCATGTATTTATAGCAGCTTGTTACACTTGTGATCATGGATACATTTGAAGATTAATGATAGTATGTACTGTCTAGCTAGAATGTGTAAATTAGAAAAATCCAATGATGTTAAAGGATCCTCATGTCAATTGAGGATGCCATCGTCTGGACTGTGCTGCTGAAATTTCCCTATGTCATGGACTCACTTCCAAGGCAGGGGTGATGGTGATGAGGCATGAGATCCAGGAGGATCGATTGAATGCTCAAAATCTGAACAAGAGCTTAAAAGTTCCACTTTCGATGCTGGAGGTAGAGACAGATGTCGATCATTCTCTGAGTTGTTCATCAACTCTGAAGCATCTAAACAGATACTTGTTTTCTCCTCCCATGTCAGGTGTCTCTTTTCCAAAAATTCAATTCCAGAATATGAGACATTCAGTTGATAATGACCGGACATTCCGTCTTCTGAAGATCCGAAGGCTCCAAGTGGGTATCGAGTTCGGGACAACGCATCGTCTCCACAAAGAAAGTAAAAATCTATGTCAGCAGGCGGAGAATGTGGAGGTGAACTCAAACCAAGCCCCCAACTAGTTGTAATCAAACTGTTTCCGAGTTGCTCAATGCTCGTCAATTCTGCTTGAAGTTCGTTAATTGCCCAATCTTGGCTCTTAAAGCTCTCATCCCCCACACCACCTGTAGAGAAACTGGTCATGCTCAAGAACAAGGTTGTTTCGTACAAAGTTCGCACATATTTGTTTGATTGGTTATCTCTAATCGCCTCGTTGGTAGACTATACTTCTCGACTGGTAAGATGTAGATTGGACTTGGTGATGCTTCTGGAGAGCATCTTCTTTTGTTATGAGTGTACTTACCCCATAGTTCCTGGTCGTTGCCGTCTTCTGCTCTGATTGTATCTTGTGATAATTCCAGCATCTCTGGGTGCACTAAACCGGAAGAGACGAAGCTTTCCTGCATCAAGAAAGCAGTAAACTCATGGTCTGGACTTTTTCTACCAACTTGGATTCGATGCAGAAATTGCTCTTCAGATCTTGGGATTGACGTATCCAATTTATAGCACGATGCTCCTCCTGTGCAAGGATGGACAAAGTGTTCGAGTGCTCTACTTTGATCATAACTTTGCGAGGTAACTTGATTTATTGCTTCACAAAACTAGTTTCGAGTACCAAGAACGTTCTGATGCTCGAGGAAATTTTTAGAATTCTTCCGAATATGTACCGTTCAGATATTCAACAACTGATCCTAGTTGGATCAACTGCATCACTCACCTGATTCTGCTGGCATTGAGACCATTGCCTCATACTCTTTGGAGAACAACCGGTAAGCCTTTCCATCAACTGTTCTACAAGACTGGCCCTGAAATGTCAAATATAATGTCAGGGAAGTTGCAGGGAAGTTGCAACTTTAATACAGTAAGATGACCTCCTTGATCCAGAAAGATTATTACCTGCAAGTTGGTTGATTTTCGTTGGACCCCAGGGCCATGCATGCTAAGTGCCGCAATCTTGTCCTCCGAGAAGTGAAGATTTCTTCCAGTGGATGGCATTTCGATGGATCTATTTGATGCACTTCAAGAGAAAGTGTAATCGTCAGATTAGAGTGTTGCCCACAAGCCTGACGTCGGGTCTTAGTCTAGAATTTTACTTGACATCAACGGTCTGACATATCCCCTTCCGAAATTGAATTTATGCTTATTCCACGATGAATACCAATTTCACTATTGGATTTCTTTTGAATAAACCTTACCACACTTATCCGCAGATATCTACACAATCTGCAAGTTGCAAAAGTGGGAAATGAATAGGATCGACATACCATACTCCATCACTGATAGTGTAGGTGATCGACGTTGGGAAGGTACAAACTGCCGATTTCTAGAGACCTGAGTCTCATGAAAATGGCTCGGAAATGCAAACTTGGCTTCTGGAGTCAAAAGAATGTCTTCGTCTAACACATCACCTTCTTCGGAGACTCGAGGTTCAGAAGATGTCCTAGGAACATCAGGAAGATGTCTCGTAAACTCTTTCGATGGAGCTGAGGGAGGGTGCTTGTTGCGCAGGTTTTCATCCGCTTCATACTTATTCTTAGTCTCTGAAGTGAATGCACAAAAAACTATATCTTAGAGTCGAAATCTTCTGCAAAGACATTAACAGGGTGGTTAATTTTCTACTAATTAACTTTAAACCTACTTAAAGTTCCTGCTTGTTAATAAAATATGATGACTTCTTTATCTTTTCAAATGGTAGTTACACAAGTACTCTCGTACCTCAATTTTAGCTGTGCTTGACTGCTTTAATGAATAAATTAATGGAGAAAACAAGAATGAGGACACTTTACCTTGTTTAGCACTGGAAATTATGATCGAAGATCTCATCGTTCTTTTGTTTCTTTTTTGCTGCTTTCTGTGAACACAAAGAGTTTTTCCAACTCGTTACGTGGCATATGGTTTGTCTGTGTTGGAAAACTGACACCGGGCGAGGAAGAATGTCGCTAGGAGACTGGTGATATAGATGGGGCTCTGGTATAATCTCACATGGTCGCAAGATTTTGCTAGCACGTTTCCCCCTTACAGTGCTTGCTGAACGATTCAGGAGAAGATAATCTAAATACTGCAAGCATTCGAGAATCTTTTGCTTAATTACTGAACATCACTTTCTCCCACGATATCATTGACCTGCAGGTTTCCCATGAATATGAATGTGGCATATGAAGGCAATTGGATACATGCTACAAAGATTCTTATCCTGTAGAGACTATGACCTCACTGCCATCTCCTCAATGTGCAATGGAATGGCACTTCTGAGCGCAAACGTGAATACGAAGTGAGAAAAACAATCACAGAGCTACTTCATTGGTCCATAATCTGACATTCTACCAAAGCAGAAATGGATAAATAGATAAACAGTTGCATCATATTAGTCCTCTGCTAAAATGTAGCATACCTCAGTTGTGGTTTAAATTTGCTCCTTTTGTTGATCCAATTCTGAGAAGGCCTCTTCAACAAATTCTCACTTGGCTCTACGGCTTCTGTATAATATGAAAAGTAATCAGTGCTACTGCTTGATAATTAGACAAGCCAATAGTAGCTTCTGAAAATCAACTAATCAGTAACTATTTCAATGAAGCAGACAACGTTTTAGCACTATAGGACTGGATCCTTACCAACTTGATTGCAAACGATGAAAATGCTATAGAATCTTGCACTCTGTAGCTCAGAATAACAGAGGAGAAGAGAGAAGAAGTAACGACACGTGCTCGGCGGCTTTTGGGAGTCATGATCCACACGTCTCTGCATTTAGTGGATTCATAGACTAGGCAAAACGCTGAAGCTGAGACGAAGGGTTATGGACAATGTTCGATGTGGCGCTCGGTGACAGCTGTATACGCAAATGGTTTAATCTCGGGGTCGCGGTTTGGTGACTTGAAATCCATTCAGATTGATGGACATTTATCTCATTTAAGTTTGCTCTAGTGATGTCAGCTTGTCTAGAATGAGGATTTTAAACTTACAATATCTGGTTGGACGATGCAAAGAAAAAATGAAACTTGAGTGAGATGTGAAAAAATCAATAGGAGATTCAAATCAAGGGGTAAAGGAATGTACGCAGGCAAGAGCCAAGAGATGAACTATATGGGCGCAAGGTGGATGTTCCAATTCTAGTATTTCCTCTACTCTAGTATTTACTCTAGTAATTTTCAAAGTACCAAGAATAGGAATTGATAGATCTTCTATAGTTTGGTTGACTTGTCCAGTCCTTCGCTAACTCGATTCTAAGCCGATGTATAACTCACGAATCCACGACTTCCATGTATCTACGTCGGTGTATGAGGGTTAACACAAACTGTTACTGATAAGGTGAATTTCTAGTGTCCACGGAGACTTGAAGACCCTCACACCCGGAACAGAAACTTCCAATCTGGCGAAACTTATATCGTACCTGCAGAGGTGGGGACGCGTCCAATTTTGAAGATACTTAAAAAGTCGCCTCTTGACTTATCAGATCGACTCATTCTTGAAAATTCTCGACGCAGCTGCATCGCCTCAGGCTGAGCTTCTGCTGTAGATCCCATGTATTGTATTGCGCTTTCGTACCGCGGTCACGAGTTGCGGCCCGTCACTGATTCCCACGTTCATCACTTACACCACACGCGCAAATTGCGTCAGCAGAATCCATGGCATTTTGCAATGAAGATTTCGTGAGATTTCGTCCTTTTCAAGGCATGCAAGATCGGTGTTTGCAATTCTGCAAATAATTCACGAACAGTGCACAGGTCTGTTTCGGACTCATGTATGTGATGGTCGCTCTTTGAAACATTTGAAATATCATAATTTCAAACGAAGGCTCCCCAAAACGTTCCTGCGCGTTCCGCATTCTTTCAAACCTATGTCCGACTCATGCTTGATGTTTATGATTTGGATTAGTATGCGCTACTACTATATCCATCAATCTATGAAAACTTTTGATGTTTTTACAAGCATAATTTGGAAATTCCAACCATGGTAAATAGATCAATACCATGGGACCCAAAGGGTCAAAAGTCAAAAAAAAACAATCCAAGAGAGAATCAAGAGAGAACCAAAAGAACCTCTAGTTAGTGTCCAAAACACTAGAACTAAACTAATAACAGCTCTAATGTAACAATCTAAATTATAAGTCTCTAGCTAAAACAAAGAATAAAGATTCTCAGCTAAAACTTTATGAGACATTCTTATCTCTACATTTCTAGTAAAAGTAAGAAATACATGCTCTTCATACTCAACTTTTCTTCCATCATCGTTCACTCCTATCAATGTGCAACCAACGTCTTTGTTCAATCCCAAGACTATGAGATCATGTTCTACGCCTAGCAATAATATGACGTAAAGAAGTAGAGATCTCCGCAAGTAAATATACTTGTTCACAATAAACAAGCATAGTATTCACATGAAGTTGATAAAACTCCATTTTAGTAACTAGTCTGCTCCAAACAATGCTAAGAAATTCCTCCTTGATACGCTCGCGTTGGGCAATAGGTTGCAAATCCCAATCAAGTTTCATCACATTCCACCTCAAAGACCAAGTCAACATATCAGGAAACCACTCGTTGGAACGTGTGGCACGCAAAGCTTCAAGAGTGAGTCGAGAAGCATCAAGAGATCTCACTCTTTTGACATAAGTGATAGTAAAAAAAAGAGCTTCAACCTCAAGAGTTAGACAAGAAGAATAGTATATGAAGTTTGGGTACTCACACCCAATTCTTCTTGTAAGAAGATCTTTTGCACCCTCTCCAAACGTTGCCAATCTGTCTTCTTACAACCCGGACCCATACTTGTGTTGCATATAAGATAACGGGAAACACTAAGCTCTGAATAAGAATTTTCTAAGACTTTAAGACACTAGAAGAGCTCCTCTACATCTATTTAGCAATGAATATAGAGCTTTGAAACCAGCTTTTACCCTCTTTTGCACACAAAGTGCTAAACTATAATCGTATGAAAAATCAATGAATAGATATTTGTAACTTTTCATTTGTTCCAACTCTAATACTTTGTAAAAGAAAGAAAGCTTGGATCTAGTGCCCACAAGAATAACTTTGGATTTCTCCAAATAGAATTCCATCTGATTTTGAGTACAAAAGCTAGTCAAAGTGTCAAAGTGTTTTTGTAAACTAATGACATCACGTGCTAGTAATATGACTTCATCTGCATACAAAAGAGCTTTGATGACAAAGACTCCAAGTTTGACAACTTCGCTATCACAATACTCTAACCACCTTTTTATATCATCTATGAGAACTCCAAAAAGAGTAGTAGAGAATGGGATGAAGAGAATAAAAAACCAAAGTAAGAGTAGAAAGCCAAAGGAAACCAAATGAAGCACCGCCCCAAGTCATAGGGAAAATCACAGTATTGATAACTTATGTAAGGGTATAGCACTCTCAAGGTAGTCAAGTCTCGAGATCTAGAGATAACTTGAGGGTATACAGCAAACAGGTACATAGATTTATTTCCTGCTAGTTCAATATTGTAAAATCGTCAAGAGTATCACAATATTATTTGTTCTCTTTTCTCTTGTCAATGTATGTTTGACTTGTATAGTGTTTTTTAGCCTTTTGGCACTTTGTGTCCCACTAGCTTCATCTATTTACCATTTACAAAGACTTGTACTTTGGCGTCAACGCCAAGGGTATATAAATTCGTAGCCTAAAGACTATAATAATTTCACTTTGAACAAATCACTTACTGGCACATGTCAATCTAAAAGCCATAAATAATTTCCAGACCACGATGTTGGACTTGAGCGCAAAGAAATACTCTGGACTGTGTGTAGCGTTTGTAGAGTGCGATAAGTTCAAGTGGTCCCAAGCTCATTAGCTTGAGACGGACTTGGTAGACTAGTTGAGATACCCCATATAAAATCCCTTCTCCACCTTTTTACATACTTAATATGTAAATCAATGATCGACATGAGTTCTAAGGTATATTGTAAGATCTAGTTCGGCCTTCCAACGATCATACCGAACACAACTGGAAAGATGTAACGAAAATGTAATAACACTGCGAAATTGTAATAAACAGTAATTGCTTGTATGGATTTTTTTCAGTGCTAATGCTGGGAGACGAAGATGTCATTCTTATTCATGAGTTAACTATCACCTCCAGTATTTCGGAATGAATCTCCAGAAATTGAAAGGCTTGCTTACGTAGTTGGCTTGGCACGTCTCGCTCTCTATGAAACGCATTGTTGAAAAGAAATCACGATGCTTTCCTTTTTTGTTCATTGAATTGTGGAATCTGATTTCGTAGAATTACGGCCTGATGGATTTTGCTTACTCTCCAGGTCTCGAAGATGAGCTGACTAGAATATCGGGAGTGTCACTTCGCGTGTAAAGCTTGATCTCAGAAACACAATGTGAAGTATTACGCGCGTCTGAATTCACACAGTTCAATACATAAAAATATCAGATGTACTGAGCAAAAGCGTTCAAGATTAGGCAATTTGTTTTGCGGTGAAACTAAAGCTTAAGTGGAGAAACTTAAAATTGTAGTTACCTGCTGTAAGCTTTTGGCTTTCAAACCAAGAGCATTGGGGTAGGACCTCTCAGCAGGAGCTCGTCAAGATATTTCCCGTCTCCAGAGAAGAATCAAAATCAGAAGGAAGCAGATCAAGATAGAGCGCGTTGCTGTCTCAACGAGTATAATAATCCGGATTTATTCTGATTCAAGCTTCGAAGTTTCGATAGAACGCTCACTGGAATTGCAAGATCCAGTGAATAAAGCTCTGATAACTAACAATGGAAACGTTGCGGTTCAACAACCAAATGCCAAACTTCGTGATCCGCTCTCTCTATATTTTACTGGCAATATACTGATCAGACGTGGTGGTCAGCAAATACTAGAAATGCATATTCTTGAAGGAGTATTTTGGGTGTTCAGCTGCCTAATTGACGATGCTGAAGTCAAGATTGAAATGAGCTTTGTCTGCTGTGGCTGTTTGTCTTCTGATTATTATGAGTCCACGACACAGAGTGACTTGAGTACTAATGTGGCACCATAAGATGAAGTGCATTTTTAATGGGAGAAAAGATGAAGTATATGAGTGTTATATAGCTTCTTAGTTTATCAAAATGCACACAAGATTCACTAGTTTCTAAATTGTTGAATATTTTGCAAATAAATCAATTCACCTGCTACGCATCTACATCTCATATCTTATAAACACCAATGTAACCCATATGTCGTGATCAATTGCAGGTACGAAAGCTTTTTGAACAATAAAGTTGCTATACAAATTTGGAGCACAGAGACCTCGTGCTCCGTATCTTGTCGCTAAGCATTCTAGATATATGAGTGTTGTAAACTTATTGTTATCTAGATGTGGGACGAAGAGTAGTATTTTCAAGAAAATCGTATATGCAAAATCCAACTTTCAATGGTGGTATACATTTTAGTGAACATTACACAGTTAACTTTTGATCCTACAGATATTATCCGGATATCAGAATCTCCTAAATTTTCAGATAATTTTAACATCATTGTGTATTATGAATAAATTGAAGCAAAATTTGATTTGTGCGATTCAAATATTTGGTTGAATCGGAGGTAATTATACAGGAACAGGATTATTCAGGTCAAAGGACTATGGTAGATGCAACAAACATCCATAATTTGGTCCATTGGATGTAATCATGCCATCACATTCACATGCTCCGTGGGTTTTATGTTTAACACTAGTGGCTACACACCTCTCTTGTCAAATATATGTTGGAATTATTGAAAAGCAATAAGGTACTGGAGCTCTTCCTATTAACTCCTGATCCACATGTCCCCAAGTTTATTTTCCAGAATTCATGATTTTCCTCTGAAGAGTTTAATACGAGTTCGAAGTCGATAGTACGCTCGATGAACAAACAGATGCTTTGTAGAAATCGAACTCAACAAGCCTTCACCATACAATAATAGGCGCACTAGATTTGATTCATGACGGTGCAACATTTGTCCAATGCCAATGAGTCAGAAGAGGACATGTGTCTATGTACGCTTAATTAAAACGAGTTTCTACCTCGTTGCTCTGTAATGATTATACCTCTCGACAAGCTCATTGAAGTGCCGTCGCAAATTGAGGAATCGCACATTCCTACTAAATGAATGACGAGTCATTTCGCAGAGATGTGCAGATTTCAAATGCCATTCTCACATCAATTTTGTATTTAATGTTAAGGATAAATGGCTGATGAATGTGATAACACGCAATACAATGACAGAACGAGATTGTTCACTGAGTTGCACGGGTACTATCCGAACCTACTCATTTGCTTAATTGGTTGACACGTATCGGATAGTCCTTTTGTTGAACGGAGGTTTCGGATGAGATCTTTGGATACGACTGTGAAACAAACACCTCTGGAAGTCCTCAAGTGAACAAATGTGTTTGATTTGAGTCTTCGAACACACTCGAGTTGCACTACGATCTATCCACTTGCACCAAGTGACATCTAATAACATGATGTCGCAAAAGCAGAGCAATGCTATTTTTAACCAGTATCCAAAAAACCATGAAACCAAAGTTAGAGATTTGGAGCAAACGCTGGAAATCTCACTATAGACCTCAATGAGCCAGGAGCTAACTTTTAAAGCTGAAGTACCAACAGAACATTTCGCGAGGGTGTGAAGTATGTCTCGGTGAATGATACATGACATCGATCTCAAACGTGTAGCATCGTCTTACTTCATCAAAGCCTTGATCATCCTTCGTTA